AAACCCTCAGATTTTGTAACATAAAACAATACTGTAATGTGCGCCTGACTGTAATCCATGGTTGTTTCCCTTCTCTTTGCTGCTCTTCCTTTTAAATCCGTATCTGTTCTCATGCTCTACAGAACTTCTGTTTTGCAGCAGACTGCCTTGTCTCAGGAACGGATACACGGTGTCTGTGTATAGGTTTGTATAGGCTTGCAACCTGAGACAGCACTACAGGAAGAGGCCCTGAGCTGAAAAGGGAAGTTCTCCCCCAGCATGAGAAGACATGAGGATTTAAAAGGAAGAGCAGCAAAGAGAAGGGAAACTACCATGGATTACGGTAAGGCGCACATTACAGTATTGTTTTATGTTAAAAAATCTAACGGTTTAATGTCACTTTAATGTAAGCATTATTGATTCAAGAGGTGGTTATGGATATCATCTGTGTTCCTTCTACCCGCACTTGTAAGGCTACACTTCAGGACCTTGACTCGATTCAGTAATTCTTTTTTTTTTTTTTTCTTTCCCTTTATACTGATTCCAATTGTATTGTAAATAAACCCGAAAAAAACAAATAATAACAGCTTAAGGGTGCAGTGTCTATATCCCCCCACAAGGAGCTGACCTCACTCATTGTCAGTGAAAAGCACAGACAGGAAGTAATGGAAGGTAAAGGCAGGAAGTGATGTCACATGTAAATAGGAAGTTTGAGGTGACTGGTGACTTAGAAGGAAGTAGAGAGGAGACACATTGCTGGGACTGAAGGCAGAGGAGGTAAGAAGATATTATTTTATATCTACACCCAGTCCCCCCCCCTTCCTGTGATGGCTACCCCAATCCTTGCTCGGTCATGTGATCCTGAACTAGTGTCGCTTAACCCGGACTGTCCGGGTGAATCCTGGACGGGTGGCAACCCTATCTCGAACACCGATCACAGCACAGATGCCCCCAGACCTATGTCGGTGGCGTTGGCCATCGGAGGGACATCAATGTCCTCAGTACATGCCGTGTCCAGTGACAGTCATAGGACGGAGGTCACAATGTAGACATTCCCGGCCACTGTGCACACAGAACAATGTCATGTCTACATCTCCTCCGTCATACGTGATCAGTAGTATGTATTAAATGTGTATTACCTCCAATCCGATATCTACCGGGTAATACGTTTCTATAAAAGGCCAAACTTTTTTACCCTTAGATATATATTGGATGTGTTAGAACATCTGCCATATGATACTTTGTTCTCCATTTTGGGCTGATTTCCCCTCAGATCTCCTGTGTGACACCGGTCACCTCGACAACACATGAAGGGCGATCACCCAGCTGGTAACTATAGTACAAAATAATCAGTCTAAGATCTCAGAACGATGGAGGAACATTATTCATCCCGGGACAGTCCAGATCATTCTCACTTTATTATCCATCTACAGAGAGGAGCGTCCCATATAGACCACATGACCATCTCAATGAGGATGGACAGAGACCAAAGTCATCTGACTGAGAAGATATTAAACCTCACCCTGGAGATCATCTACCTGCTGACCGGAGGGGTGAGGAGGATTCTGGGAGGTCACATGACATCACTCTGATCTCTATTCATAAGACACAGACCTGACCGGAGGGGTGAGGAGGATTCTGGGAGGTCACATGACATCACTCTGATCTCTATTCATAAGACACAGACCTGACCGGAGGGGTGAGGAGGATTCTGGGAGGTCACATGACATCACTCTGATCTCTATTCATAAGACACAGACCTGACCGGAGGGGTGAGGAGGATTCTGGGAGGTCACATGACATCACTCTGATCTCTATTCATAAGACACAGACCTGACCGGAGGGGTGAGGAGGATTCTGGGAGGTCACATGACATCACTCTGATCTCTATTCATAAGACACAGACCTGACCGGAGGGGTGAGGAGGATTCTGGGAGGTCACATGACATCACTCTGATCTCTATTCATAAGACACAGACCTGACCGGAGGGGTGAGGAGGATTCTGGGAGGTCACATGACATCACTCTGATCTCTATTCATAAGACACAGACCTGACCGGAGGGGTGAGGAGGATTCTGGGAGGTCACATGACATCACTCTGATCTCTATTCATAAGACACAGACCTGACCGGAGGGGTGAGGAGGATTCTGGGAGGTCACATGACATCACTCTGATCTCTTCATAAAACACAGACCTGACCGGAGAGGTGATGACCTCTTTCGGAAATCTGTATTGATAATTGCAACTTTCTGTCTTTACTCAGGATTATAACGTTGTGAAGAAAGTATCTGATGAGCCATTAACACCCAACAGATGTCTTCATGAAGTATCACCCATCACAGAGCCTCCACCTCACCGCCTGACAACAGAGACAAACAGTGGTAAGAAGGTTCTAGAGGTCCCCGCCCCCTGTATTCCCGGGATCCCACACAGGAAGATCAGACTATGCCTCGCATTGATCAGGTAGATGGGAATGTAGATTTAAAAATATATTCCAAGCAATGAAATTACTTTCTTCTATGTAATCTTTTGCACCTTTTTGAAAATGTGTTCTATCATCTTTGGGGTTTTAGGGTGAAGAAATGAAAGCCATAAAAGCTGAAATGAAACAGGAAGAAGAAGAGATGTTGGTGGGAGGAGCTCAGCAGTCCATGGAGGAGGGGGAGGTGATGGTGAAAAGTGAACAGGAAGAATCTTCTCTACATACGGACACAAGTAAGTCATAATCATTCATGTTTTCATTTTCCTTCTATGAGTATAGTGTCCATCATATGAATGTCCTTCTCCATTCCTCAATATAACGTCATGTGACCAACAAATGAGGAGGAGATACTGTACACCATATGAAGGTCCATCTCCATTCTCGCAGGAACAATGTCATCAATGTACAAATACTGCTTCCCAATGTGATTTGGGTGTATTGGATCCTTTCTCTGGCTCTCATGATGGTCCTCAGGTTTTATTCCAGAGTCCTGAGAAACTGAAAGTTCCACCAACATATATGACTCCTGAATGTGAGGCAGGAAGAATACTTATAACGTTTCTTGTTTCCCAGCAGATGGACTCCATGTCTGGAATGTCTCTGAGGGACGTCTTATTTTATCTCAGGACATCACACAACATTCTCCGGGAGTGAATCCCATTACTCATAATGGACATCACAGACCTTCCCATGCAGAGACATCAATGGATCCCTCTAATCCTGAGGAACATTCTGACCAATCACAGACTGTTACTCCAGATATCCATCTGAGATCTCAGAGTGCGGAGACATCAACAGATCCATCTAATCCCGAGGAATCTTCTTTAACCCGTGAAGGAGATCACACAGGAGAGCGTTCATTGTCTTCCGTGTCTGGGAGATCTTTCACTAAATACAAAAACCTTCTTAGTCACCCGACAAGTCACACAGATGAGCATCCTTATTCATGTTTACACTGCGAGAAATGTTTCAGCGACAAAGGAAGGCTTCTTAGACACCAAATAATTCACACAGGTGAACGACCTTATCCATGTTCAGATTGCGGGAAGTGTTTTATTCGGAAAGAACACCTTATTACACACCTGAGAATTCACACAGGTGAACGTCCTTTTTCATGCTCAGAGTGTGGAAAATGTTTTATTAAGAAAGAACACCTTAATACACACCGAAGGTATCACACGGGTGAACGTCCCTATTCATGCTTAGTGTGCGGGAAATGTTTCACTGAGAAAACTGTACTTCGCAGGCATCAAAAACTTCACACAGGTAAGGGTCTCTTTTCATGCTCAGAATGCGGGAAACATTTTACTCAGAAAGGAAACTTTCTTAATCACCAGAGAAGTCACACAGGTGATCGTCCTTATTCATGCTCGGAGTGCGGGAAAGGTTTCATTCGGAAAGGACAACTTGAGAAACATCAGAGAATTCACACGGGTGAGCGTCCTTATTCATGTTCAGAGTGTGGAAAATGTTTCACTGAGATAGGAGGCCTTCTTAGACATCAGAAAATTCACACCGGTGATCGTCGTCATTCATGTTCAGATTGTGGGAAATCTTTCATTCAGAGAGGAGATTTTCTGAAACACCAGAAAAGTCACACAGGGGAGCGGCCTTTTTCATGTTTAGAGTGTGGGAAAAGTTTCACTGAGAAAAGAAGCCTTCTTTCACACCAGCAAATTCATACAAGAGTTCGTCCTTATTCATGTTCAGAGTGTACAAAATGTTTAACTGAGCAAGGAAGCCTTCTTAGACACCAGAGAATTCACATAGATGCGCAACCCTGTTCATGTTTAGAGTGCGGGAAAAGTTTCTTTACGAAAGCAGACTTAGCTAGACACCAGAGAATTCATACAGGTGAGCGTCCTTTTATGTGTTCCGAGTGTCAAAAATGTTTCACCACCAAGCAACACCTTCTTAGACACCAGAGAAGTCACACGGGTGAGCGTCCGTATTCATGTTCAGAGTGCGGGAAAAGTTTTACTAACAAAGGAAACCTTCTCCGACACCAATTAATTCACACACGCTAGCGTATATTTTTCATGTTGAGGCTGTGTGGGACACATTTTGTGGACGGAGGGGGGTGATATAGAACAGGTGGAGCTGTTCGGTCTATGGAATAACTGCATGATTAAGATTAGGAGGTCTTAAAGGAGCACATTCTAGAAAGTGACATTTCAGTAACAGGTGGAGTCCAGTGGGTTAAGTATCCTGCTGCTTATTCTATTTCTAGGAGACTCCAGTGCTGATGGCTGAAGTACATGGTCTCTTTTCACCCAGATTGGGGTCTCCTCTGTCCTCCATCATGTAAAATAACAATCCAGCAAGTAGAGTGGGAGCCTCTCATCACTTGCAGACCCGGCAACTCTAGAGATAGAAGTATATCAGGGAACCTGAGTAACCCCATATGAGGCTCAGGTCATCTGCGGGAGGATAGACTCAAGTGGTGCACTCACCATATTGCAGAGTATTGGCAACATGTCAAAAACACTGAAGGTTTTCCAGACTGACGCCTAATAGTTGTGGGCATGCAGGGGTTAAATTCTAGTAATATGATCCCTCACTCACATAGATGACACACGCATCCAAATGACACGCTACATGTGCTAATTCATGGACAAATATGCCAGTATGTTGGCAACACGATGGCAATTGTGAAGGTAGGTGGGCAACAAAGGTGGGAAACACACTGGAAACCATGACAATACACGGGGCAAGAAATGGGCCATCATGACAATACATGGGGCAACAAACGGGACATCAGGACAATACATGGGGCAAAAGAGATGATTATTGAAAAAGTTGACAACTTTTTCAATAATCGATTATGTCGATTAGTTGTTGCAGCCCTAATCAGGACAATACATGGGGCAACAAATGGGCAATCAGGACAATACATGTGGCAAAAGAGGGCCATCAGGACAACACATGGGCCATCAGGACATACATGGGGCAACAAATGGGCCATCAGGACAATACATGGGGCAAAAAACGAGCAATAATGAACACCAAAGAAAAATGGCAATACATGACAAATGCAGGAGCATCTACTCCAATCAGAACTTCTCTTTCATCAATGGACCTTTTTTATAAGTTGCTATTGGCTGCTGCACTTCATTGTTGGATTCGCTGAAAAGATGCATTTTGTAGATACAAGCAATAAATGTGATAAATATTACATAGGGATGCACCAATACAGTTTTTATTGTGGTACCAGTACCGATATTTATCTTTCAGTACTCGCCGAGTACCGATACCGGTGCTTCCACTAGCATGGAGCCGGCTTCCTGGCCAATCAGCATTGAGCCGGCCAAACAGCATGGCGCAGGGGTCCCGGGCCAATCAGGAAGCCGCGTGACGAGTCATTACCTGACGCCCAGCTTCCTGATCGGAAAGACCTCAGTCCATAGAGCAGGGGTGGCAAGCACCTTGTAATGTGGCCCGCACAGCAGCCAGTGGCGGATCCAGGGGGGGGG